TTGAGATCTACTGTCGAATAAAATTTTCAACGAGTAGCTACGTATCAATCGGATACAACCGTCAAAATTCATGAACTTTCTGTATAGTGCAGTTGTCATTTTAACTTGTTTCTGGCTTTGACATTAGTTTTATATGGAGTCTTGTTGGTCTAATACAGTTACTAAAGAGTTGTGTTTAAAAGTCTAACTAACGAGATAGAAAGTCTAGCGCTGAAGATTTAAAGTCAAGATTCTGTTGTTCGTAAAGTTAAAAGTACACTTGCTGACGAACTTAAACGTTGATTTAAACCCAGCGATGATGATATTGGAAACCAAACACCAATTGTGGCATCTATCGTGGATCCTCATTATAAACGCTTAACCTTTCTCACATGTTTCTGGACAAAAAATAACGTAAAACAGCTGAGGATGCATTCAAGTCAAAGCTAGATGACATTTCGTTAAACAAAATACATTTATCAGTATCTTCATACATTTCTCAGGATGGCAATGATGACGAACCAAAACCAAAACGACAACGTAGACCAAGTGCAATTGACTTCCTAATTCACGAATCTCCGGAAAAATTACAAATGGATAATGATGAACTTAATTCTTATGTCGCTGAAAAACTCAACCCCGAGACTTCTAATCGTCTCACCTTTGTAAATAAATTTTCTTTTCGATTGAGGAATGTACCTGTTGTTTGATCATGTGTGACTTTGTAATAATTGATGTTCAATTCGTATATAAAATTGTTTATTAGATAATTGTTTAATTAATTACTTCATTTAATAAATGAGTTATTAATTCTGGTGTCACATAATTCGGGGGATTTAACGTTAATTAGACAAACAATATGTACTTGTGTAATTTTACAAATCTTTATTTTACCCAGCGAGTACTTGATTATCGCTTCGTAAAACCAACGAGTACTCTAGTATTTATTTCTCATCGAGTTAACATCCCGACTTAAAATCGTTTGAATTTTATTTATCTAGGTCCAGCCATGCTCTAAAACTTTTCCAGGTGCACAGGTTTGTTTGTACTCAGAGTGAAACTTGTGGTGTAACTACGGCCATATTTGCAAAAGGTTATGATGAACCTTAATGTTCATCAAAAGGAATTGAAAAATATGGACGTGTTTACACAACAAAATATTGATTGATTGATTGTTGGTTGCTTGACGTCCAGTGGCAAATATTTCATGCATATTCAGGACGAGAACAAATTAACAATAAATACAATAGGTAGGTTCTATAATAGGGGCGTCTGGGAATAAGGTCGGAGAAATTTAGACTACCACGGGAAATGAGGGTAGATTGGATAGGGACAGAAATTTAGCCTTGCAACAGATCACCTACGGACCCCTCAAAGAGTTGTTGCAAGGGTTCTTAACGTTCACAGAGCGTGGCACTCTCTTTACACGAGGCATCGGATTTAACGTCCCCATTCTGACCGGACGTGGCTGCAAATTTGTACATCCCGCACAGCCAAAACGGACGCTCTACTTTGGTGAGGATTTTACTGCCGGTCGGAGGAAGACCAATTGTGACCATACTTCTATTCCCCAGTCACCCTTGGGAGTTCTGTAGAGATAGCAAAATAAACTAACACATGAGTTTCATTTGATACGGTCCAGCACACAGTTTAAATCACACATTGTTTGCAGATGTCTATTGTCCATCTAATGTCCATTTCAATTAATACTACTGAGAACATTTATTATATGAGGGGAGCTTCTCAAACCTCTTTTCAAACTTAGTTTATTTTGGCACCTTCTGCAGGAATGAAAAAAAATGAATAGCAAAATCCAGAAAAGTTTATAATTTTCTGAAACATAAAATGCATTCAAAATTTAATTATCTAGTTTCTGCCATGTTAGTAAAAGATAAGTATGTATTGATTTGTGAACAATTTCTTTGTATAAATAATTCAAAATATAAAACTTGACGATTTAAAGATTTACAGATTTTCAGCGAAGTTGAATACAAAGCAAAATCACGGGAAGACATTATACATGGATTCGACGAATTTCTATACCATCTAACAGTACTTTCGCGAGGCCAATTGAATACTGATATCCGCTTAGAACCGCCAACACCATTACCTTCTCAGGTTTGTGAAGCTCATCCATAGTTTTTATCAAGTTACCTTAACTGGAAATTTTTCATTTTTTAATTATTTTCTTTTAGATATTTTTGTTCTGTTATATCCACATACAGTTGTTGAATAGGATTTTTTCAAAACATACATATGCTGTTCTTTTCCTTTTTGTGTGTTTTTTTGCTGTGCATGTACTGATTTTTTGTCATGGGTGGATACCCCATATTCTTTGTTTTTCTATTATATTAACGGAGTTTGTTTCTCGTACTGTGTTGAGGCCGTATAAAGTTTCCTCGTGCTTGATATGTATGCTCTTCTGTATTTTCAAAGTTATGGTGTATTTATTCTTGAGATAACTTCTCTTATGTATGCCACATCATTCTCTTAATTTTTAGGCAGTTTGTATATCAAAATTTTAATAAGACGCACACCACTTTGCTTGGTCATCATTCCTATCCACGTTAATTTTTTCACTTCAAAACATTTTATGGAAGCGGGATCAATATACCGGTATTTATAAATCAGACCGTACTGCACTGGTTACCAGAATTTCGGATACACCAAACCAGGCACTTTATATTTGAGAAACAGGCTATATATGCCTTCAATTTTAGAATTCATTCATACATTTTTGTATTATTCAAATTATCAGTAAATTGTGTTTTCTACAAAAATCACCATTCCTTCACCTTTCATCTGACACCTTAATTACTAAAATATATGCTAAATAGATTAAGATTTACCCTTATGCGTAGGAAATATTTTGTTTTAAATATGTACTACTTTCCAGTATGTTCTTTTTTGACCAGGCAAGATTAGGTCGTGTTGCATCCTACAAAGTCTATCCAAATTATTTTTGCAAAGAATTCCACTCAAGCCGGTGCTAGGGGCGGTCTCAAACTTGTAGTGAAATGAGAGTTTTTTGCTCCTTGTTGAAAGCCTCTCTGTGACTTTGAGATGAAGAACAGCAATAAAAGCGCTGTTCCTTTGCTTTTTTTTTTTTATATTTTTTTGCTGTGCATGTACTGATTTGTGTCATGGATGGATACCCCATATCCTTTGTTTTTCTATTATATGATGCTATTTATGACATAAGTTAATGCTCGATTTACATGTATGTAAAAATTAAGACATATTACGTAAACGAATCAGTAGCCAAAAATAACAAATCACAAGATAAACTAAAATATTTGAAAGTCATCAAAAACTTTTCGACAATAAGCACTTAATCACCAGAAGTCTTTACAAGATGTGAATGAACTAAACTACATATTACCAAAACATTTAATCCGTGTGTTGTTGTCAATTTGGTTTTATTGTACAATTTTCTATCTTTAACATTTTTAAAAAACATTTAGGCCAAAATAATTCTTTCCTCCGTGTTTTAGGCTGAAACTAATACCCTTTCCTCTATTAAATGACAAAATATTCCTATTTTCTACAGGGGAACAGTCACCTTCTTTAAAAAAAGGGGGGCTATAATATTTCATCCTGATTCTCCATTTTTGAAGAAAAATTGTATTGCCAGACAAAAGAGAGAAAACGGTTATTCCAAAAAGTTCGCTAAAAATGTTGAAAAAACAATCTGCTTTTCTGCGATAGAAATGTCATGAAACAAAGAGAAAAACACAGAACACCTTTTATATAGATTATATGATAAATTACTTACAAAGTGACTTGTATTTTTCGTACATCTTTATAATCCAGTTGCTTCTTGCTTCATGAAATTACTATATATACAATTTAATTTGTAACTGGACAGTGATTTCTAACGTTTATACATGTATCTAGATTAAGTAGTGAGTTTTATTTCACATTAAAAATGAGCCGTAGGGCGTATTGTATACGAATACAATTTATATAAGATTGTGTTTAAATTTGTTTTACAACAAGCATATGTATAGTTTTACATGTTCAGACCTAAACGTTTAAGAGAAAAATTTCCCACTTCAAAGTGATCGGTAAAATAGGATACAATTCCTGGAAATCTTTGCAGAAAAAATATTTTTTTGACGGTATATAAGTCAGATAATGCATATTTTAAGGTGTTTCTTTTTGTATAACACGCCTCGTTGTGTTATACAAAAAGAAACACCTTAAATATGCATTATCTATAACCGAATATCACGGCCCAGGCCAAGTGTAAATTTCCAACAAATCTATGCATGGCTTCCATGAATTATTTGGATTCTAATAGAAAAAGTATGGTAATTTAAAAACTGAGGCAAATGTAAGATTTTGGTAAGATTGTCGTATGTATGGCTGCTCTATTTTATTCCCTTTAAAATAAAGGCTACAAATTTCGAAAAAATCTCAGTCTTCCATGGTTTATTTCTTAAAAAAACACTAGAAAAAATTCACAGTTGACAAGTCGAGTGAGCCGCCATGTTGACTTGCTGAAATCCACAAATTGGCAAAATTTATTAACCTAAATGTTCTCAAAAACAAAAACAGTAACATATTTTATTTGGTCATTTTCAAATTTTCATCTCTATTACTATATATAGACTTGTTTCCGCAGCTACTTATTATTATTATATCCATATAATAAGTTGAAAACGTTTTGATATTTTTTTTATTATCAAAACAAGTTCGAAAATAATTGAACCCATCAAAAGCAATGCCTACAGAAGATTGTTTATTTTTTACGTGTAAATATTTTGCGAAATAATATCGAGAATATCGACGTTACATTTAACACGAACTTTAAATCACAAACACCGGAATTCTTACGTGTAGGAAAGGCATTATGCAACGCGTGCCTGCAGAACGCCCCTACTACATAAACAAGGACTAACAAGCTGCTAATTAAATGAAATAAGTCAACTCAGAGTTGCTTTCCCGCAATGACTCATTCCTTTGTTTAACTCACATTTGCAGTGTCAGATTTTATGTGCAAACAAATGAAAAGCCTCTATACTAAATACATTTTAATATAATGTATATATATATATGTGTGTATTTTCTAAATATAACTTATACTTGTAACAGATTATTTGTACGAATTAAAAGTGGATAAAGATGAATACATTCTAACATCTTTCGGTCATTTTAATCTGATAAGACACTGGCCTGCTAATTAATCCAAAAATTGGTTCAAAATTAGGTTCTGAACACAATTCTATTTCAAATCTTTGGAAAATATTGACAACAAACAAAAATATTTCCATTTTTGCAAGAAATTCTCCAGGACACCGCCTTCGTCCAATACCAAATGTGAGAACTTCGTCTGCTTTCTGTTGATTAATTTGGTTATGACTGTCTAAAAACCTTTCTGGTGAAAACTTTTCGGGATTTGTCCATAGTTTAGGATCCCTAGCTGCGGCATATGTATTGCAAAACACAACAGTACCTTTCTTAATTTTGTGGTTTCGGAACACAGTGTCGGTTGTCGTTGAGTGTGGAATCGCCATTGGTAACACATTAGCCACTCGGGTTACCTCTAATATCGTAGCTTCGGTAAACGGAAGTTTTCCTTTGTCTGTTAGCTTCGGCTTTCTATCACCAATCACGGAGTATATTTCCTCTTGTACTCGTCTTTGTACTTCATTGTGGTATGACATATATAATATGATCCATTCTAGCGTTGTCGAAACGGTTTCAAATCCAGCACCTATAAAGTCTGTCAAAGATGACAAAATCTCCTCTTTTGTAATTCCATTGTAAAGTTCTGGCGAATTTCCGTATTGTTCCGCGGCGGAAATCAATCCATCCGTGATATCCCTGTGATTGTTATTGTCATATGACTTCACATGTTCATTGACTTCAGAAGAAACCACCGTTCTGTTCAATGCTACCAATTTCTGAAATCGTATAGCTTTCCAGGGCATTACAAATCTCAACCATGGCATAACATCAAGTGGGTTTCCCGATCTGGCCGTTTCGACAAATATTTTTGTATTTTTGATTAACTGCAAAAAGTTTTTATCCTCACAACAGTTTCTTGCAGACCCAAAACAAAGTTGATATATTATACAGCCTATTCCTAAAAATATGTCGTCATGTGGACTGAAGTGGTTTCCTTTTCTTTCAAGAAAGCTCTTAATGACCGTTTCTATTTCTTTATTAATTACGTCCTCTGTTGGGTTTTTTTTGGCCGAAACAAATTGTCTGAGAACGTGATTTGCAATTTTTCGGTGCATTTTCCAACGAGGGGTGTACGATCCAAATGATAAACCCTTCATGTTATATAAACTTATTCCCGTGTAAAATTCTGGGCGATCTGAGAACACTTCTCCATGGTCCATCAATGCTTCACGTATTGCCTCTCTGCTGTTTAAAACAATTGTTGGCCAACTTCCCATGCGAATTCTAAACACGTCACCGTAAGTTCTAGATATGTTCATTAATGTTCTCGCTGGATTACTTCCAAGTAGCGGTAAATGTCCAAGAATAGGAAATCCCCACGGACCCGGTGGAGAAAGATACAAATCATTCCAAAGTTTCAGAAAAAATTTAACTAGCACAAGAGTTACAGCAAATATCAAAATAAAGAATCTAATTCCAATTCCCTCATAACTGGAAACTTGCAACTCGTCCATTTTGATGTAATTGTGTTTTCGTCGTAATCATTTAGAATACATGTATGGACACGTGTCTAGTCATCGTTTTATTTACCTGGACTTTATATCAGACGTGTATACAGATATAAGTCATGTGATTGATGAAAAACTATATGTTAAATTTTCATAATACGAATTAACATGACATACCTAATATATACCTAACAGAAATGTTATATAATTCTAAGGTGCGCAGTTTTTAAAGGGTCAATGTTCAAAGTTATTTACTTTAATTATTTAATGTTATTTAATCTCTTGCCTATATTTAACTTTTAATCTCATAATATGACGTAAACAATTTGTTTATTAAAAGGGGGTAATCGTAAGAAACAGGAGACAGTATCAAGGACATTAATCGAAAAAGGACAGCAACATAAAAGGTTACAGCTAGAAACCAAATGAAGCAATTTATAATTATTTTACTGAAATATATGGGTGTTCTTTATAAAGAGAAGGTAATATTTGGGTTATCATATTGTTAAAAAAAACAGTGCATTCGTTTTCAACAAAGTAAAAGTAATTTACCAGTGACCAGTCTTTTGAAGGTCAGTGTGATTCAATAACCTTTCTTATAACCTTCAATCATGGTTGACGATTAATTTGAAAGAATCGAGGTAGTATTTCATCATGTCTCCCATTTTACAAAAAGGATGAATGTTATATAAAATACAATATCTTTTACAGAAAAAAACATATTATGTACGTGTGCTTACATCCACTTCATTTGAACTTTGTTGGATATTTGTCTCATTAGCAATCATACCACATCTCTTTTTTTTATATTATTTGGCTTTCCTTCTATATATAAAGACGTTATAGGATTTTATATCCATTTTACGCATATAGAGTATACATACTATTCTTTACAAATCTATTATGAACAGTTCCTTAATCAAGACAAATCGAAAATTTCTTTAATAAAACTAAAACTTGAACCTTTGCAAAATTCCTTTGTAGATAAGTTTTGTGTCAAATTCCCTTTAGATGTTTTGAATTTCCTTATGGAATAAAAAGGGTTGCTTCTTTTCTTTAAAAGTTATGTTTCGATTTTTGTTTTTATCTTGCATTTCAAAATACTATTAACGGTAAAAATTTACTGCACCAGATGAGCACTCCGACAATTGATGTCTCTTCAATGATGCTCAATGCCAAAATATTTGAGAAAATCAAAAACCTAACAGAAACGTTGAAGATCAGATAAAATTAAAAAGCACATAATGTAAAGCCAAATCCTGACAAGGAATCAGAGCTTTGCATGTGGAAAAAAATACCTTTTGATACATGACTGTTCTTTTCTCTTTTCTCTTTTTTCTTTTGTTTTTTACATTTGTTTTTTACTTTGTTTTTGTTTTTGTTTTTATGTCACCCCTTTGGAAAAGGAGGGACATATTGTTATTCTACGATTTTACATTCCACATTTTTTTCTCCAGCTTAGTTCTCAGAGATGACTTGACACACATTGATAAAACTGCACCATAATGACAATCCTAATGTGCAGAATGTGCATTTAGGGTTTGGAATTTTCAAGATGGCCGCCGTTACCATGGAAACGGCGAAAATGTGAAAAACAGAAAAGTGGTCCAAATTTAATGAAATTTTCAGGAAATATAACTCGTCATTCAAAAGTGTGGCATCCATCTTTAGAACTTTCAAAATAGCCACTGTTGCCATAGAAACAGTCCAAATGTGAAAAAAAAATGAAAATTAATCCTTGATTAATTCATAGTAAATCAACCGTTACGAATACGACCCCAAAATCTACTCACACATAACAAAAGTATGAACTGTAGAATTGAGTGCCGTTGGATTTTTTAAGATTGCTGCTGTTACCATGAAGATAAGGCTAAAAGTAACATTTTCTTACAAATTTAAAGCTCAAACCCGGTTTAATGTTATTGAAATGTCATCTGTCTTTTACATTTTCAAAATGGCCGCCGTTGCAATGGCAACAGCAACGATGTGAAAGTTCGAAAATCCATAAAAACACCTCGTAAATTTGAGTCAAAGTTCTGTAATCAAGTGTATGTACATACGATCAAAATCAAACCTTTACTGCTAACATCTTCTAGAATATGCTAGAAGAAAAAAAAAACGTTAAGCGTATTTATACTCTATACAAAAATCGTGCTCTGACAATAGAATCGTCACCAATCTACTTTAAATGAATGAAAACTGATATTAAACACGGGCGTCCCGCTTGATGTTCTGACCTAGGAAGTGAGAAATACTAAGAGTACATATTAGTGACATTTCTGCACTTGCATTAAAGTACACATCCGGGATTCAAACACCTACTAAAATATACATATTAGTTGAAATCAATCGGTAAACGTTTAATAAAATTTTACAGGATCAAATACATATCAAATGCATGTATCGTGTGATCCGCGATCAACCATTCGTTACCTATTAAAGATCAAAACGAACAATTAGTATGCTACTCTGATAATATGTACACATGGTGTCTGTTCAAAGCTCCCATCTAAAAAGACTATTAATGTGCTAAGTCCAATCTAATATCATTGAGCATCACGTGACACGATGTTTTTCTTCGTACGCGGTCTTACTTTAGATTCAAAAGATTTCCCAAATTATATATAGATCTCAAACTTTCAAAAATCTCAAATTGCATTTTTTTTTCTTTCTTTCACGGGAGGGGAGATTCAAAGGCATGGAAGTTCTGGCATGTATATATGTGTCATTTGACTTTGGTATATTCATAATGGCTGCTGCTTCTATGGCAATGTCCAGTACGGGATGACATCCTCCGCTATTGCTTACAATAGCAATTCTAGTTGTTTTTGTTTTTGTTTTTATTTTTAGTGTTGGTTTGATGATTAGATAAAAATAGAGAGGTAAAGACGTTATTATTTAGCTTAGATCACCCACAATGAAAAGAAAATTAACCAAAGGTTGGAATTGCAAATAATGTATATATATATGTATCAGATATAATAATCCTTTTATTCCAACAGACTTCGAAGTGAGGAGTGTTAAATAACATGATGACTTCCATAACAAATCACGTTCTCTTACATGAATCGTATTTACCTGTCACTAAAGTGCTCGGCTTAATCACTCCGTAGTTTTATGACGTAAGGGAAAGGCATTATAACAAATTAAGATCTAGATAACTTACCACATCTTATTATTCTAATATTATTGGTGATGCCATAATGTGAGAAGTACTTATCCAACTTACTTCAAGAAGTAAATATATAAGGAAGAATAATGGCCATGCTTAGTGCAATAAAGGAATATAGTTCCTAAGTATTATAGGGGATATTTCTTCCGCAGTTTTCTTGCTTCTGTTTACTATTTCAGTGGTCTTATAAATTGCATATATATTCAAATAAGTAAAACATTTGAAAAACATTAAAAGTAGTGATTTGGGAAACATTGAAAGTAGTGATTTGGTCAAATTAAAAGTATGGTAGAAATTTGACCTCGGCATTTACTCAAGAGTCAACTCATACCGTTGGCATGTTTTCGGGGCTCTCAAAAGAAAACGCAAAGATAGATTTTGCTGGGACAAGCATATTTTATTAAAATAACAATGGTCTATAAACAGTAAAATTTATTGCATGTTTGAATTTGTTCAATTTTTTATTCAATTTGACTTTTACAAACAAATGCATTGTAACCAATTGCAAAAATGATTGTGGTCTGAGACGAAAAATACCAAAAGGACATTCAATCTCACAAGTCGAAAATAATGTGACCACGCTATGTCTAAAAAAAGACAAACAGACAAAAAAAAAGCACACAAAATTAAAAGACTGAGCAACAAGAACCCCACCAAAAACTTGAGGTGATATCAGGTGCAACAGATTGGTAAGGGTAAGCAGATCCTGTTCCACACGTGGCACCCATCGTGTTTCTCATGTTAGTACAAACCCGGTCGTAAGTCTTAATTCGGTAGTTTACATTCGGAGAAAGGGGGACGGGATTATAGTTACGACAATTGAAACATATCCGTTGTCATTTGTGAAACAGATATTCCATAACAGTCATCCAACTCGAGATGGCGTCCGTAAAATTTACTAAGGGATGATTTCAACTTCACCACCTGGGACTCTTGGTTTGATAGCTTCCTTGTGAGCAGCAACCCTCTATCAAGGAAATCATTATAAAAAATGCAAACCCTGGAATATGGCATCAACTGGGAGATATATACTCCGTATGCAGGCGCTGCTGGAATGTTGCTACATAACAATGGAAAGTTCACAATTGGGAAGCTGAACTAATCTCTCTACATCGTAAAGTTTTTGTTTTCAACCAACCCCCCGTAGGAGATGAGTTTGGTCAAACACAAATTTTGTGAATAAAAGGTCTTAATTATCTTTGTCAATTTACTTTTCAAGAAAGAAAACAGAAACCAATCAAAGTAATTAGAATAAGACATTTTGACCATATCTTGGCATATGAGGCAGGTATTGGCTTTTTATGTGATTTCTAATGTAAATTAAAAAATTTAATTTGTAAGAATGCAGCACATAACATCATTAAATCAATAAGGGTTCTTCACTGATGCGTTTTCAATTGTTTTTTTTTTTTTAAATGAGTTGACCCAGGGACATAATATGTCATACAAACAGATATCAAAATATGAAGGTCAAAAGGTCGAAAAATTCAAAAGTGTTAGGTCTAAATTTACTTTTAGTTGTTTAGAAGTACAAATAACTAATAAAGAGGATGGAAATAAATCAATTTTTCAGTGTTAATTTACCTTAAATAATGCTTTTTATGTCTGTATCCCTTTATCATATTAACCAATTCTGATTTAAGTACCAGAGAGATAAACATTTGCAAAGCACTGGCATATATAGGGCAGAACGCTTTTACAGTTGTCTCATTTCAAGTAAATACAAGTCATGTTTACTAGATCAAGGCATATTTCTGTAAAAAATTACCAAACAAATATTTCCCTAATATAATGTTGACTGATTTCTTAAAACTTTGCAAAAAGCATATTTTGCAGACAGATATACTGATATACAAACTGTCGAAACTTTTTTTATTCATTGTCAGAATATGATCAAATTTGGCATTTATACTATTTAGATATCCTGCCAAGTGAATACAAAGTTTCTTAAGAATACACCAACTTTTTGATGTCTAATAGGCTTCTTACCACAACTAAGTCCTTTTATTTCGTGGTCTAGGAAA